ATAAACTCAATCCATTATATCTGCGTTTACCCTTGATTTTTTTAATATTTACAATGTTTTGCGAGTTATCATTTTTTTTGTTATTTTTTACAAAAATATGGTTCATGCTATACCCAAAACCTTATAAATCAAAGTTTCAAACTGTATACAAAATCAGTAATTTTTAAGCAAAAACCACAACCAACTTCAATTCGCCTATAAAAATTTAGATGTACCGTTAACTTTTTCATGAATCAAAGATCGATTAGTATGAGACCACCTGTGAGACACCATGCATATAATTCTGTGTCGGTAACGTTGGTAACGAGATTTATCGTCGATAGTGTAGTGGTTATGATAACCAGACATTGAACAACCGGCTCTTAACTGGGGATTAGTACCAGAGTTTGTGAAAACGCCCTATGTCTGGTTAACACTAACTGCAGGTTAAACATCGTTATCGACGTGATCGACTCCTTAACACCCGATTTACATGATTCAAGTATTTGAAAGCAATTCTTGCTTATTCTCTTTTGTGTTTTCTATTTTCAATTCTGTTCAATTCATGTTTTTGGTTCCTCAAATGGGAAACAACGAAAATGCCAAAAGCAAAAGCATGAAAGTTGAAACGACTTGACGGTACAGACGCACGTGTACTCGTCCCTTTTCTTCTCACCCCCTCTCTTCCACATGCGAGCAGAATTGAATTCAATACTTGAATTGTGTAAAAGCAGTCTAACATATAGAAGGGAGTCGATAACGTCGATAATGATGTTAGACCTGTAGTTAGTGTTACCAGCCACTGAGAACCTGGTCCTAATAAGGGCCATTTACATATATGAATGAAATGCAAATTGATAAAACTATATAAAAAGTTTAAAATTTTGATGACAATTCGTTAAAATTTCCTTAATTTTGTTATAAGTTTGAAACTTTGATTTATATGGTTTGTTTAAAGCATGAACCATAAGTATTTTTTATTTCTTCTTGATCCAATGATCGGATCTAAACCAAATTAGGGCCGGTTGTTCAATGTCTGGTTATCACTACCAATACACTATCGACGTTTTCGACATCATGCATATAACATGTGATCGTCGTTGTACTTAACCAGAGCTTCTACCTCCGATTTGTGTTAATCTGGCATTGAACAACCGGCCCTTAATATGGGACCACCTCTGATGCACCACCTTTCTGTAAAAAAAAGGATTATAGAAATCGGTTGACGTGTTCCAAAGTTATGCGGTAAAATACATCAAAAAATATATTCCGACGGATTGATAACCTTCTCATTTTTTTGAAGTCGGCTAAAACAAGGGTGTACGGAGATATAATGGAGTGAACGTGTGTAATTTGTTCATTAAACGAATGAGTTCAAAATTAAAAATACAATAATAATTTTTGAATATTTAATCAAGGGCCGGTTGTTCAAATGTCTGATTAGCACTAATTTTATATGCATGATGTCGAAAACGTCGATAATGATGTTTAACCGGCAAGCAGTGATAACCAGACATTGAACAACCGGCCCTAAAAGTATCCTGGCCAGGATTTTTTCGGCCAATCCACTCGCGAAATATTTACAGCTATCGACCCCATGGTAGTATTAGCCAGACATCGAGAAACTGGCCCTAAGGACCGTTTGTTCAATGCGAGGCTAACACAAACCGCAGGTAAAAGCTGCGGTTAACTGCTTTACCGATTACTTTATATATGCGGAGACAATCGCGATGTTTCACTTGCAGTTAGGGCCGATTGTTCAAATTGGCTATAACTGCTTCCCAGTTGAACGTCCTTATCGACGTTTTCGACATCATGCATGAAAACGAATAGTGAAATTTAATCAACAATCTCTACTTAAATAGGCCATCTGAAATTGGGCCTTAGAAAAAAATATAAATTAATTTTATGAATAGTTGCGTTCCATATGCTTCACGATATTCACGATTTGAAGGAACAGCTGTTTTCTCCATTCATAAACCTTATGGAAGGTGGTCACCTGGAACGACTTCCTGTAAAAACCTGCAAATCGTGAAGCATCTGGAACGCAACATAAGTATAAATTTAATAGCATTATTTTGGAATAAAATTTTAAATTTGTAACGCTAACAACCTTAGGGCCGGTTACTCAATGTCTGGTTAACACTAATCTCCGGTAAAACATCGTTATCGACGTTACCGACTCCATGTTATATGCATGGAGCCGAACACGTCGATAATGATGTTTAAACGGAGATTAGTGTTAACCAGGAATTGAGTAACCGGCCCTTAGTATGCTGTATGCAAATGAAATTTTGTATAGTTTTAGTTCGCATCTATGTATTTATTTAGCAATCCATTATTTAAAATAAATTTTGATTTTTCTGAGAAACCCTGCTTTCACGCAAAAAATCACGTTATGTAGTTGGCAACGCTGCATGGCTTTTTATAGGATGTGCTATTGGTAATACTGCATGTGTTCACGTGTTCATTTAATTCTTGACAGGTTAAGTGCGAGGTAATTCCTCCTCGAGTATTTAAATTTGCTAAGTACATATATCACTAGATATTTGGTTTTCTCATTATAAATTCCAGGTAATACAAGGTCCACCGCCACCATACCCGCATCCGCAACAGAATTTAAACACTGTACCAACAAAGCGTTTCAAAGATGAAGCCCTCCAGCACACAGAGTCGGGCAACCGCCCGGTTCAACCGGCTTTTTACCTTTCACAGCAGCAATTACAAACATTACAAATCCTGCAACAAAACCAAAGCACTCTCAATCATCAAGAGCAGGCGTTGTTCCAACAACTTAGCTCACAATATCGCCTTATGCAACAATATCAGCAGGCAATGAGGCAACAGTTGCCACAAAATGCACCATCGTCACAGCAACAGCTTTTGCAAGCTCAATCACAAGTGACGGGATATCCCATGCGTTCAACAGCGGCATCGTCGTCATCGACTGTAACACATGTCCCTATAAATTCGGCCTCGACTGCGCCGTCGATAGTGAACCCGCCTCCCACATATGCTGGAACTATTGAGGAACAAACAAAATCAATTGTGCCAAAGACATCTGAGTCAACAATTGGATCAGGAGACCTGGCGCAATTGTCACCAAGCAGTGATCAACTAGGTGAGTACATATGTATGTATTTAAAAAGAAAATCCGAACACGTGCCTTCGACGTGTGCAGGTATTTGCTTAGCATGTAAAACATAACCTATAAAAGTTCACATATAGACTCCCCCCTAAGGGAGCGGCGACCAAAGAGCAGCTAGCAAAGCGTCGATTTCAAGCGCATATGTTTCAATGGGAAAACGCATAGTAGAAAATGCGATAAACGATTTCTTAGCACATGCTAATCTTAGGGGCAGGGAAGACTTTACCTTAGGGTTTTTCAACTAATTTGCTCTGCTGAAAGGTAAATGCAACCTCTGTGTACATTTTTAGTGCATAATTTCAAAAATGCCAAATTTTGAGTTGGGTCACTTTTGAAGATGGTTTGCGATATGCATATCGTCGTTTTAAGTACAAAACCGCGTATCAACAAAATGCAAAACCGCGTATCAAGATAGTGCAAAACCGCGTATGTGAATTATGTAGATTATTTTCTAGAGTAAAAACACTCGTATTTCAAAATGGCTCTCTTTTTTTTTTATAAAGCAATCGCATATCTGGCCAGTATATTTCAGGACGAATGGATAAGGATTAAGCCAAGAGCATGTGTAAGTAAATCCAATTCTTGGCAGCTAATGCCAGATACGCGGTTTTGCAGAATGACGATACGCGGTTTTGTACTTCAAACGACGACATTTTTATTTAAAACTTAAATACTATATTATTTAGGTGGGCATAATAAATATGATCTCAATATGATTGAAAAAGTTTAGTATTAGATACTGTCCGCAGATATACTTTGGAGTGAACTCACTTCAGTAGCACTCTGAATGCCCCTCTGACGGAAAATTATAAGATTTGCACAGTCGCCATTATGCTTAGAATTTTATACTAAATGCTTATAGTATATTATTAACGTAAAGGCAAACAAGAAAAAAAAATTAAATTTGTATTGTGTGTTAAATTTAAATACATATATGGTTATTAACTTGGTTGTTATATGTTTTGCAGGTGTCAGCGATCAAGAGTTAACCGCTTTTCTCTCGCAAAAGGATTTAACATCAACATTTGCCGAAGATCTGTTAAAGACGTTTAGTGCTGATAACTTGGACATTAAAGAAGAAGATATTGAAGCCACTACTGAGGAATTATTCAACGGCCTTGATAAAACCTTGGGCTCTGACGATAAAACGAACGCACGCTTACCAATAAGTAGCGGCAACCAAGCATTGGCAGGATCAAGTACATCAGGGAAAGTTGGTACTGTAAAAGAGGAAATCGGTGCTCAAGAAAGCTCGGATGTTAAATTGGAAAATTTTCGCGATGAGGAATCCGAAGACAAAGATAAATTTGACGATGATCTCGAAGAGACGTCAAAGTTTAGCATTCATATGGATTCTAAGCAACTGTCAGCAGCGGTTAAGAATCTACCACTCGATGAACCACCTCCTCATTGTTCAGTTTTACATATAAACGCACCGCCGCCCTCGCCACCCGATTGCCCGCCACAGCGTCTTACCCGTGAACAACTCTTACCGCCCACTCCATCAGTTCATTTGGAAAATAAGAAACACGCCTTTAGTCCTCAGCTGCAAGAGTTTTGTCTCAAGCATCCAATAGCAGTGGTGCGGGGCTTGGCTGGTGCACTTAAGTTAGATTTGGGTTTGTTTTCTACAAAAACACTTGTCGAAGCTAACCCTGATCACAGCGTTGAGGTACGCACACAAGTTCATCAGTCACCCGATGAAAATTGGGATGCGTCACAGGCAAAACGAGTTTGGGCCTGTATATCGCATAGATCTCATACAACTATTGCGAAGTATGCACAATATCAGGCGTCGAGTTTTCAGGACAGTTTAAAGGTGAGAAAAAAAATATTTATTTACTATTGTAGATATTAAATTCGATCAACCACACACTTTAAAACAATAGATCTTTTTTATAAATTTCTGTCACCTGTGATGATATCAATTTACAATAACTTTCGTTCTACATAAAGAATGATGATGAGATATAATTAACTGAAAATTTTGCTGTATGTGTTATTTAACCGTCCTCAATCGTTCTATGTTTAACTATTGGTGTGAAGTTATAATCCGATTTTCGTTTCCAGGATGAACAGGATAAAGGTCCCGCGGGCCTGCAAACAATGTCTGACTCAGATTCAAAGGATTCTGTTAGTAATTCAAATGTCACTGGAAAGCGGAAAAAGCTGAAAAATGGGAACAAAATGTTAAGGTAAATTAATTTGCAATTCCACTCGAAAATAATCATGGAAATAATGCACTTTCAAATTCAAAAATGAAAATACTGGCTAGACGTTGCCAATATTTTACCAAAAAGTGCTAACAGAAAAGCAGGGTTTTTCGCTAACACCGTTTAAAATACGTACTTGAGCGGCGTTTGATAGTAGGGCTCACGACAAATAAAATACAACATAATTACATATTTGCATTTAAAAAATTAAATTTTCAATTTTGCAATTCAATAAGAATTTGTATTTAAAATTTGCAGATTCGGCACAAACGTAGACTTATCGGACGAACGTAAATGGCGTACACAGCTGGCTGAATTGCAAAAGTTACCTGCATTTGCGCGCGTCATTTCCGCAGCCAACATGCTGTCACATGTAGGTCATGTTATTTTGGGAATGAATACCGTGCAGTTATATATGAAAGTGCCGGGAAGTCGAACTCCAGGACATCAAGAGAACAACAATTTTTGCTCCATCAATATAAACATTGGCCCAGGCGATTGCGAATGGTTTGCCGTTCCGGATGCATATTGGGGTGGTATTCATAACCTATGCGAAAAGAATAACATTAGCTATCTGCATGGTTCGTGGTGGCCAGTGCTGGAAGATTTGTATAAAGAAAATATACCCGTTTATCGGTTCATACAACGGCCCGGTGATTTGGTATGGGTTAATGCAGGGTGAGTTGATGTTTTGAATGTGATTATTTTTACGTTTTTGTTTTATGTATGCACATACATACATACATACATGCATGTGTACGTTCACTAATGATGTTAAACACAAATCAATTACTAACTTTCGTTCTACTGAACATTTTTTGTAGAGATTTAATTATCTGATAAAGTGAACATTTAATTAACTCATTTGCTTAATTTAAATTTTCAGAATTTTGAAATTTAAAATTTACGAAATCGTCTTTTACTTGCAGTTGCGTACATTGGGTGCAGTCAGTTGGTTGGTGCAATAATATAGCATGGAATGTGGGTCCCTTAACAGCGCGACAGTATTCCCTTGCAATAGAACGATATGAATGGAATAAATTGCAGAACTTTAAAAGTATTGTACCAATGGTGCATCTTAGCTGGAATCTCGCAAGAAATATCAAGGTTTCGGATCCAAAACTTTTTGAGATTGTGAAGTAAGTGGCATTTCTTTAATAATAATTAATAAGTGTATATTCAGTAAATCAAAAAAGTTTACGTACACTGCTTATCACTGAAGAAAAATCTTAAAAAATCGATTTGGTTTAATCCGGTGAATATGGACAAAATTTTTCCGAATGTGATAGAGAATGTATGTAAGTTTCTGAACTTTAGCAACCGAAAATTTCGCGAAATCCGAAATAATTTGCAAACAAAAACCAATCTGTGAAAAATTTAGTTTAGTCTGCCCTTATACACACCTGAGAAGGAACCGTCTACTCCTCACGGCGAAATCGTCAAAAAACTATGTCGTTAATGATTCCTGTAATGGGGTAGCCATGTTGGTCGACGAACACTGTTCTGCAGTAACTTTTTTGGTGATACACTCAATTCATTCTTGTATAAAATTAAGAGAGCAGTATTATGTTAGTTGGTTCCTACTTATTACCATGCAATTGTTAATTAATTATACCTATGCTACGCTATTTTTGTGTTCATTTCTTTCTCTCCTTTTATTGTATGTATAAAGCCGATTGGCGTCAAATAAATAAATAAATAACGGTAATCAGGAACTTAATTTTACCCCAGAAGTATGAATGCCGTTTTTGGCTTTTTAAGTTTTACCTTTTTCTTGAGAAAAACTACAAATTTTAATATTTTATTTCTTACAGAATGTGTCTTCTTCAGACTCTCAAAAATGTATTGCATACCTTGGAATATGTAAAATCAAAAGGTGTCGAGGTACGATTTCATGGACGTGGGAAAAATGAAGCATCTCACTACTGCGGGCAATGTGAGGTAAGTTGCGCTTCGTTTCGCTTTCAATCCGCAGATATACTTTGGAGTGAACACTTTAGTAGCACTCTGATTGCCCCTCTGGCGGAAAATTATGAGAATTGCACAAGGGTCTCTAGATCTCCTTCATGTACACCACTACTAATGGTGTGCATTTCGAGAAAAGACCAACAATCAATAAAAAAAAATTATACATATTTTTTCGCAATTTAATTTAATTTTTTCTTCATTTTTAGGTTGAAGTCTTCAACATTTTATTCATACGGGAACAAGAGAAACGTCACGTTGTGCATTGCATGGCATGTGCACGTAAGCTAGCACCAAATTTACAAGGCATTGTTTGTTTAGAAGAATATCGGCTATCGGAGCTTTTACAAATTTACGATGCTTTCACGTTGTATAAACCACCACAGACACTGCCACAAAGTCCCCATACGTCGAATATTTAATATTATAATGATTAATGGTAATGATAAAGACATTCGTTAGTTGATTTGCATACATACATAGTTTCATACATTTAGAGATGTCGGAAGTAGTAGGTCTATTGGTAATATTAAAAAATTATACAATTTTTATAATAGACAACAAAAACAACAAATGCACTGGTATTATACTTACGTAGGCATATTTTTATAATATACAATATTACATACCTACATATAGTACATATTTCATTTAAGCCGTTTACGACGAGTAAATTTACGCTCTTCTTATAGACGTTTAGCACTTGATATCATAATTATTATTCTACGTACGTAATTTTATTTCTTAGGCAGTTAAGGCATTATTATCTATACATTACATGCGTAATTATACATACATATACCTATACGTACGAAAATTATACATATGCAATGCTATTTAATTTGTTCTATACACAGACAATTAGTTTAAATACACACATATTATTGAAGCAAGGTATTTATAAAAGATGTGCGATTAATGAATTGTGTTAAATATTCTATTAGGTTGGGTTGTATTATTAATTCATTTAAATTTATCTGGCACGTAAAAAAAACATAAAATTTCTACAAGGAAAGAAAAATTTTCCGTCACACGACGTAATAAGTACTGTAGCGCCATTGGACGCAACTCTAATAATACGACCCAATAATTGCCTAACTTATTCATTAGTATCGAAGAAAAATTAGGTTGTTTCTTTAGCATAAAACCTTTTAGTTAAATTGAATGGATAAAATCATGATTGATAAGTTTACAACTACAGACCTAAGTATAGCATAGCGAAACGGCAACATTTCTAGTTGCTTAATCGTACAGCTTTTATAATTAATATAATAAGCGTATTGTCGTCAAATACGTACATATGTATACACACTTATGTGGGTATGCATGTACAACCAACCGCGCATACATTTGAATTTACGGGTTTTCAAAATATTCAAATCAGGGACCAAAAATTACTGTTATCTCGAATTTACAAATTGAAAGCGTTAACCGAATTCTGGAATTCTACTCTGTATTGCGATTCGAAAAACAAAATCATTCGCATTCGAATACTTGGCACTATGAATTTGTATTAGTTCGTGTCGCCTTTCGTATCGCAATACAGAGTAGATCACTGAAATTTAACGATAAAGTTTTTTCACAACAGTTATTAGATGGGGAAATATTTTTTTTTTTCACCGATAAGATTTATTGTCTCACGTTTATTTTTACGTTGTCTGATTCGCGATAAAACTTGTAACTGTTATGTCTCTGATTCAAATAGTTTGTACTACGAAAAAATGGCGCAAGCTCAAAAATAAGCTATAAAACATCTCCATATAAGCATACAAATAATATAGAACTTGTATACATATGTAATTAATGATCTCAATAAAAAAATTAATGAGCGACGAAATAGCGAAATACAAAAATGTAATTGCAAAACCACAAACACGGTAAAAAATTATGTGCTGTATCGAATAAAAAATAAATAAAGAAATGTAAATCAGGCCAATGCCAGTTCTAGATTTAAACAAGCCTGGGAAACAAACGAATATATTTTTATAATAATTTGGAAAAATATAAAAATATATTTTAGAAGTACGTATATCACATACACACACACTTAAGTGTTCAATATTTGAATCAAATAAAATTAAAAAAAAAAACAGCAAAATTAAACAAAAGTGAATATGTCTTGAAAAAGCGCGGCGCTTAAGTAAAGCTATGCTGGCGTAAGGCTTATGTTTACATGTTGGTCCGTTCCTCAAACTTCCGTTTTTTTTGTTGTGTTGTGTTTTGTTTTGTTAAGGGCCGAATTTACAATGCGTACTTAAAGTATTGTTAACCACCAAGAGTTTAATTATGATTTCATATTCACTGTCGCATAGCTAACAATGAAAATTCATATCGCCTGGAATTAAATAACTTCGCATAATCAATATTTTTTCTATACAAATGTAAATTAAAAAAGTTAAATTTAAATTAAAAGTCAAAAGAGTTGTAAACTCTTCTTATCTAAGCACTTTGAATATGAAAATCAATAGGTAAAACAGCTCACAGAGGTTTACTACGCACTGTGAATTTGGCTATTAGTGTCTTCAAACCACCGAACAAAATTCGTTCAAACATTTATTGTTATTTTACATCTAAATCCATCAAAAATCATATGTTCCACTCCAAGTTTTTTTGTTTTGATTTCGTAGCCAGTTTTTTTTTTTTTTTTATTTGCAATTGTAAAATAAAGCAACAAAGTCATAAATGGCGTATCCAATACGGGTGCTAAGATTGTTAAAAAAATCGCGCCTTTAGTTAAATTCTAAACGGGCCTTTTGATAATGCGTAAGGAAGTGAATGATTTAAGCCTAGAACTCGCCCTTTATGCTCCATCTAATGTAAATATATTTATTAATAGTCGATTTCTTGGTATCCAAATGTATTCTATTTGAAGCTGTATGAAGCTTGTATGCCTCATCGGAGGCGGCAGCTCATTTCTTGGTTTAACTTAATATGTACATCTTTTACATAAAATACATTTCATGCGTAATTCTGTATAATTTATACGTAGTGTGAAATTAATAAATAAAAGAAAAATTATGTGGAAATGTGTTTTTTATATACATACATACATACAATTTGAATTTGTGTTTTTTTATATAAACATAGATTTGAAAACGAGGAAAACTGGTGAACTGTTATGAAATCTGAATTTCTACGAAGGTATGTAGTGTATTCAAAGTGAATGCTACGTTTGTAACTTTTTGAATTCAGCGATAGCCCTAAATACATACAGTGCCGGACAAAAGTATTGGCACAGAGTATTTTTCGCAGTATATGCAAAGTTTTTTATTCTAATTTATTTTCAATATTTTTTAATGAAAATATAGTTCGTACTTCACCAAACAACATAAAAACAAAATCTCTAAGCTTTGTATAAAACTCAGGAAAATTCAATAAATTTGCATACTAATTTGCAGTTTTCTATTCAGATTTTTTAGAAAAATTCTAAGTATGCCCATTCAATTTTAGTATAACAAAGTGCAAGTTTGAAATATCTAAAAAGTCGCGTTGAGTTTTGGCAATTTTTTTAGTGGAAGCTGTTGCTCATTTTAGCCATACAAAAAATAATTGTCGGAACATACTTTGTATAAAAGAAACTAAGAGAAAAAAAATTGCCAAAAATCAGCGCGATTTTTAAGCAACTTCAAGTTTGCACTTTGCCATACTAAAATCAGATGGGCATAAAACTGTATACTTAGATTTTTTTTCTGAATAGAAAGTTGCAAATTAGTATGCACATTTTGAATTTTTCTGTATTTTTATAAAGAATTATTGAAATTAAATTAAAATAAAAAACTTTGCAGATATTGCGAAAAATTCTGTGCCAATTTTTTTTTATTCCGGTACTGTACGTGTTCACCAAGCCGTTTTGGCCTTCCCCAGCGGCCCAAAGAAAGCTCGAGCCAGTTTCGCACAGACTACCTATCCCTATAACGATAGCTACCCATTCAATTCACGTATTAGCATTTTCAGTACAAATTTGTATTTTGTAATAATTTCAACAAAAAAGCATATTTAAAAAATCTCTAACTCCATCTGTAATGTGCGTAGGCTCGATTGCTTTCGCACTGTCGATGCAAGTCATTCTTCTTTTTCACCACTCTTCCTTGATTATAAGCTGCATCTAGCACTTCCCATGCCAACTTTTCTGGCAAATGCACCTTTCTCTCCTTTTCCCTAGCTGCTTCCAGAATCCATTTCATTGCTAGAAAATATGAACGCTTCTCAGTCACTGGGATTGGCACTTGATACTTGACGCCACCGCGTTTTATTGCCGTCAATTGCAATAACGGCCGACTATTTTCTATTGCCTTGATTAACAGTTGTTCAGGATCGGCTATTATTGTATCTTTCGCATCCGGATTCAAATTCATGCGTTCAATTTGTATACGCTTCATGCATTCAAAAGATTTTGTTAGCAATTCTCTGGCCAGTTTCTTGTTGCCACCCTTCGTTATATAATTGGTCATTTTGTTGACCAAACTGTTATAGAATATTGATTCGGATTCATCGTTCTTAGCTGCTTTTACCGGCATATGTGAGAGCTTGATATACTCATCAGTTTCTTTTAGGCTGAGTTGTTTCTGTTTGGAAAATATAGCATCGATGTAATGCGGCGGATAGCAAGACATGCCACGCGTGAAGCCGCATACCAAACTGCAGGGGATTGAGTAAATGAATTGCAGTCATTGGTCAAGAAAATACTTCAAATTCTACCTACCTGAGTGGCTCAAGGCGACCGCATAAACTTCGCAGCATTTTCTCTCACTAAATCGCAGATCACTAGGTAAACAGAAACTGCAATTCTACGGAATTTATTTAATAAATTTCATTTGGCACCTATTGCGATACTCTTATTTTATCGATAAATGTAGTAGGTTGCCAACACTTTTGTGATAATTTTAGTACACAGTAGCGCAGGTTTATATTTTGTTAGTTGAAAGATTGATTCGTTACTTGCTCTGGGATGTTGAAATTCCTTGTCCTGATACATTAGTTAATTAAAATACATAAATACATTTCAATATACTATATATATATAACATCGCTGTTGTTGTTGTAGCAGCATACAAATTCCCCAAAGACTTTTTGGGGAGTGTTGCTGGAGTGACAGTCCTTGGCCAGATATAAATCTGGGTCGTTCCGGTTACGTAGACCCGACTGTCGTGGGAACGACTACATCGCTGTTGCGCTTATCGCTTATAATTTATCGATAGTTTTCAAACACGTTCGATTGTTGCCCATGTTTATCGGTAGTCAGCTGTTGTATTATTGATTTTTTCAGTGCTTTGTTTATAAATTCGCAAGCACCTCCTGGCGATATTAGGCGATTAGGTCCACAGTATACATTAGGTCCAGGAGAAAACCCCCTTGCTTCTAAACGGAATCGCCTTCGACAATTCCAACAGAAGATATTTTAACAAGCATGACCCCACAGGACGCGGATTTGGCTTTCAAAACCAAGAAAAGTCAGTTTATTTTTACGAACTAGTTAATGGTTTAATTTGTATAACTTTCTTTTATGTTTATATATATGTATGTATATACCTAAAGCTTCAGAGAAAATATGCGAAAACATACATATTGTCGCAAATGATCCATCATTAGCATTCTTTCGGATACAGGAACATGTCCGTAAGGTGCTCCAGCCAATATCAGATAAGAGAGCGGAAGTTATACAGCTGCAAACAAATTTACAAGGCCATTGCTATGACATGGAATATGCTGTTGGGTAAGGAAGTGTAATTTTGTCTTCCACTTTGAGATAATTATTTTACATATTTTTTATAGTGCTGTGAAGAGCGTGGAACACTCTGAGGCCATCTTCAAAAACATTCAAGAAATGATAAAAACCTCTATATTTCTGAAACAGCAGCTGAAGTATGGTGAGATAAAGAACAAATCAAAAAAAGAATCAACTAGTAGTTCAGTTTATAAACGATTTTCCGCACATTTGACGTTGGATTTGCCAGAACTACCTGATTTTAGTGGTGTTATGCGTGAAACAAGCCAGCGTGTTGAGACTATGATGACTTCGACAAGGGACAGCCATCCTACGCAAAGTACTACTGGTGAATTGCAGAGATCACATACAACACTCCACTAGAAGGGGTCAAGGGCTGAAAATTTTTTATACCCGAGTATGAGGGTATTATAAAATAGTTGTTTGTTACAGGCTAAGATAATCGATATAGGTATAGACATATATGTATGTATGTAGGTATACTCCGAAATGCTCAGAGTGAAGAGAGTCGATTAAGCCAAATCTGTCTGTCCGTCCGCCATGTACACGATAATAATATTAACAATTGGCGCTTACACAATATGTTATTGTTTGGCCCAGCTTCTCCGATTTGTGGCGAGCGCCTTGAAGTTGTCACACAAAGGGGAGGGACCTACAGTTTTAGACGCAGATATGCCCAACGACTCGACTCATCTCTTAGCATGCCCACTAATCCCCACTTAACTAATGCCTCTGTCCCTATGGACAAATCCCATAGACGCTGCTGGGATTTTAGTTGACCTTTTCGTTTGTTTTTGATGTTAGTCGGACACTGGGCTCGATCTCAGGCACTGCGGAATGTTATACAAGGTAGGATGTTATGGAAAATGGACGAAATCGGCCAGTAATGGTACCTCGAAAAAATGCAAAAGCTACAAAATTTACACAAATACTGGATCCAAATTGTTAAAAATTAATATGAGAAGGAAAATTTTAGCATAAGATAAGACAATTATAAAATTTTTGTAAAGTTAGCCCATTTACGTATGATGAAATTCTTATCTCAGTAGCCAATCCCTACCAATCTCGGTACGAACATTAATTAGATGAATATGACGTAAATGATGTGATTGATTCCATTTAAAATGTTTATAACTTTCATTGGAAATATGGGAAAAATTGTTTGAAAAGCGCAGATTTCTAATCGTACGATTTTTAAAAAAGGCCTCATTATAGGTTTTTGGAAAATGGGCGTGGATCCGTGCACTTATGGCTACATAAGTGAATCTCGGTATTAACTTCATCGATTTCTACCAATATGATTCAATCATATTAACGAAAATATTTGAAATGGGTAAATAATCCCCTACTTATATGCAAAGGTAGTTTAGAGAAAGGTGAAAAAATTATGTTCAATACGTGCGCCGGGTATATAAAGATGGGTATTTTGTTTGTATTTGTCTAGGTTACTGCAATTTATAATGAGGTTAGATTACTACAGCTCATAATTGAATACATAGATATCATGTGTAATACATATGCTAATTTATTTATCTATAGAATAATTTATACAAAATACTAAAGAATAAAATGTGATATATAATGTGTCGTTTATCTCAAAATAGGTATTTTTTGTTAATTTTGGAACGATCTACAGGTTTTCATCAAAACTGACACTATATAAATGGTTCTAATGTTAAAAACGCATCTGCACATATTAAATATAGTATTAAGCATGTACATACATACATACGTACGTACACAATGCAAATATTGTTTTATCTTAAAATTTCATGGAGTCAGAAACGATATCGAAAAGATATTACAGTATGTGCATTCTTACATACATATGTATTTATGTATATACATACATATATGTATGTGCATATGTAAACATTTGTGTTTTATATATGTAATATATGACGGGATACATATATGTATATCTATATGTATGTACATATGTAGCAACTTTCCTTCAAATCTCATATCAGGGATACGCCTGTAATTGGACACTTTATTATTGCATACGGCACGTTCATTCAAAGATCTCCGAATCGAATTTTTGCCTGCTTTAGTTGATTGCGCCCATGCTCGTTTGTAGATATGTATGTGCATACATGCAGTTAAGTGTATTATATTTAGATATATGTATGCATACATATGTATGTATATATATGCACTAGAAATCGGCGCGGGACTAAATATTCAATCCGATCCCGCCCATCCCTAAGTTTTTTCACATTTGTACCGCGGCATAGACGAGTATTTGCATAGTAAAACTGGTTAAAATTATTTTATGAGTTTTTCTAATCATTTACTAAATATTATGCCGAATTTCCTCTAGGATCCATTTGGCGAAGTATTTAGTTGTATCCAGTTACCATTAGTTAAAAAAAAAACTCTTTCAGAAAAAGCCAAGAACAGCATTGGTTTTTCTAGAACATATTTATTAGGCTGGGTCGATTTTGTATGGGGGAAAATGAAAGTCATTTGACCGCATTGTAATAGTAATATTATGATGTCTTAGGTCTAAGCCAATTGTTATTGGCCAAGAAAGATTAATTTAAAACTTATCTTTAGCCCGCGCAATTGAATCAAAGTGTATAAATGTTGAAAATGAAGCTTTGGATTGAAATATCTATGGAATGCGTTATTGTTATGAACAGAACGATATATCAAATTAAGGGCTATTAAATTTAGTACCTCACGTTCATTTATCATTTTTCAATAAGTCTATACGTTTTTACGATAATAAGATAAAACTTACAAAAACTATAATTTTCCCTTATGAATTTTCAATTCTTCATTACTTCAGCAAACAAGTGAAAAATACAAAAAAGTGAGACGAGATTTATTTCAAACGTTTTAATATTTTCGGATGTTTATATAATATTAAAATGACCATGGACTTGGTCTCGCCGATTTGGTCAGTTTTCAAGATCGTGGTGAATGAATGTATTGTCAAAGAATAGGAATCGTTTGACAAGTTAATAGTAGTTTCAAGCATATAAGTATTTGCATACATTAACATAATACAATTGGGGTGAGAAACGCCCATTTTAAGTCTATTTATGCAGTATTGAAAATTAGTGCGGAATGGTTTCATTAGTCACCAGAGAAGCACATTTTTCGCGGTTTCTAAATTTGCCGTTGTATGAAAGTAGGGGACGTGCAATAAGTGTTTAGATATACATAAATATTTTAGTTAATTCCATTATGTGAAAAAGTGTCTGTAGGTAAACGCAATAGTCTTTAACATATCCTGGGAAATCCTTTTGAGGACTCTCCAATTGGACGATATTGCTTTGCATTCAGCTTTAACGAAAAAAGTCACGCGCTGGCACAGTTTTCTGTAATCCGGTTCTTTTATTTAAAGGTTATTTATACAATTGAAGAGAAATTTTTTTAGGAAAAAACTGGAAATCCACTTAATTTTTTTCGATATAACTTTGGTAAATGTTACTCGATCGGTACGTAATAATTATCAAATTGAAGGCGAGACTTACTGTTACTGATTTATGATAATAATATGATGAAAATATAATAGATTATAAACCAATTATTTTAAAATAAAAAAATTATAAACAAATTTTTTTTTGTCATTTTGCTATATTTGCAATATTTAAATTGTATGCATAAACGTAAGTAAACTAATTAGTGTTTCTAGAAGTTGTGCCTGTTCAGTGTTTCCATACTCATTTGCATGAACAAAATTTTTCCACGATGATGGAAAATAATGGCTATTCTATTAGAGCTACCGAAATTGTTCCTAAATTTGAAAAATTCGCAAACTATAGCCAATATTAAAAAGAGATTAGAATATTTGGAACTAGCGATCTAAATGCACGCCAGCAATATTAATGCTGTTCTTTACATCTTTTGACTATAGGCCAGTGCAATTATCAAGAGAACAATTAAAATTTTCTTGAAAATAAATAAGTTTGAGATTAACGGCAAGCTAAAGTGCTGCGAGAAATGACATTCGACTTTATCTTTTGCGTTAACGGATTCATTATCTAATAATATGCACAACCCTTTTTACTGGACCCAGAATTTTTAACAAGAATTGGTCTTATTCGACTAGTGTGCTGTGGGTCACTTGGCGGTCGATGCGCGGGCTCTCATAATTTAAATAAAATACTAATATTTTGCAGGCTTGTTGTTGACTTCATGATACAATATATTTTCACTATTACCAAGGGATTTGAGAAAAATTAGATTTTCGACCCGCCCTAATATTTATGTCGACGAGTTCAGACTTCGTTCTTTCAAACTGGCTCTCGATTGCGAATAACTGGATATGTGCAAAATTTTGCTATTGAATAAATAACTTAAAAATAATATAAAAAGGATACTGTAAATTGTTCTAAGGACACAAACGGTCTCGCCGAAGCCGATTACAGGGTATTATTGTCCAGTTTCATAGTCCTTCCAAGGAACTCTCGAGGACTTTAAAATTCAGTAAATCTGTGTAGCCGGCTCCTATAAAAGCTGTTGACTTTCGAGCATTCGTTTTCTTATATTTTTAAGTTCGTTTTACAGATGAAGAAAAACTAGCGATGAATCCACTTTTTTCAATAGATCGTTACCAAATTAAATGTCAGACTCGCAGCTTTTTAACAATGAGACAATCTACTCTCCCTTTAACCAGATATTGAACATTTCTGCAAATAACCACCAAAATTACAATTTTACGACTCATCAAGTTTCGTCCTTCGAAAATCAAAACGGAGCACATTTGTTTTTTTTTTGTTTTAATTTCTCTACATTAACAGTAGTTACAATTATTTCAAGGGACCAAACTTTGACACACCTTGAAAGTAAACGCAATAATAAAAATATATGTATATTTAAAGAACATATTAAAAGCAATTCGCTTAAATTTAATTGTAAATGATGAAAATTACCTTCTTATATGTTCAAAAGGCTAGACCTGGTAAATATATCATGCACAGAAGTACTTATGTATTTAGAATTTTAGCAACCATTTTCTTTTTTTCCATCGAAGATATAATCTGTTAAAGTTGTTTAAGTGATTCTGACTAATCATGTACTTCTTCAAATCGTTATATCTCGGGTTCTGCTCATCGTAAAGATTTCATCACGGCCATTTCTAGACGTATGTCACCGTGAAGAAAAATCTTGCCGTACAAATATTATTTCTGCATAGGCATTCTATCGGAATTCGCAATAAAATTCAAATTTTTGCAAAAACCCGATTTTTAACACCTTGCTAAATACATCTCATCCTAAGTTTTCGAAAACCAATTACAAAATATTGTTGACTCTCCCAAAATAAACCATCTTGGGTATATATGGGGTTTGTCTGAGAATGAATTAAATTTTAATTGAAAATTCTTAAAAATTAATAAATAAACATAAGTGGCACACACTATCACTTTGAAATGGCGTGCTATAGATATGACCGATACTGTATATTGAAATGTTAAGCCCGCTTTTTAGCTTTAAAATGACCGCTTTTTAGCTTTAAGTTGAAGTCTCTACGATGAGTAGAACCCGAGATATAACGCTCTGAAGAAGTAAATGAATGGTCAGAATTAGGAAAAAATTCGAACTATGACAGATCATATCTTCGAAAAAAAGATTCCCTCGTTTACGTGTTAGCTTAATTCATGTATAGTAATCCATAAAAAATGTTGAAGCGAATCGGAGACATGACATAATTTTTTTTTTTTACGAAATCAGTCAGGATGTATGTATCTTGATCTACTGTAGGTACGGTGACCAGATTTCTTTGGCCAAATCGGGACATTTCTAAATCGTCGAATATGAACAAAAATTTTTGTTTTTAGAATAAAAAGACATCACATCTCTTAATATAGTTTTATTTAAAACAAAGCAAAAGGGAAAACAAATTAAAAATTATCGCACAAATGTATACACACAATATATACGGTGGCGAGAATATATATAGGCAAAAGACATTTTAGCAAATGTTGGCTACTTTTCTTTGTTTAAGAAATTCTTAATATTCTTTTATGAAAATATAACTTACTATCTCAAAAACATGTAAATAAAAAAATAAAAAGTATGTACAGTGACGGGCAAAACTGTAACATGGTGTGACACTTTTTATTTCAGCCATCGCTATCTTTCCAAGTTTTAAAAACTTTCATACTTTTGTTTTATACTCTTGTTGGTACATCCCTACTCCCTCTCCCATAACGATTTGAAGTAAATACAACAACAATAAAAAAACCAGCAGACAAAAATGTAAATTAAGGCAGATGTTACAGTTTTGCACTCACTCTCAGTTTTGCATTTGACAGTTATCTCTTACTTAGTTGGAAGTCTAGATGACTTTTTTCTGTATTGTAATTTATTGAAGAAGTGATCACCAGTAAATAATATAGTTAATCAGGAACCATAAATGTAAATAATAGATTTACTGCGGAAAGGCGGGACCGCACGAAAAGTGGCAAAAAATTTTGGAATTTGCTACTTGAAAATGTTGTGACTGAGAAAAAATATAGCCTAAAGTGTTCCCATGGACAAAGGAAGTCTGTCAAAAAATATTACGGTACGATATCTTGTGAACTTAGCAGCAAGTAGCGATGCAGCCACTATTACAGAAGCGCTTAAGGTATTAAATTTTAACGCAAATCAATGGACAGCGAGGCGAAGAATTCCCAAATTGAGCGCAAAGGCATCATAAAGAAGAAAAAAGCAAATTTGATAAAAATACAT